ACTTGGGCTTGAATTAAAGGCATTTTTTAGCCTGGAGACCTCTGGCCTTCACTCTGAATGGAACACTCAAAGGGAGGAGTAAGGTCCCCAGCTGGCAGGAAAGACACACTGGCCCCGGCCCCAGTGCCCTGGCCAACTTAGGAAGAAGACAAAAAGCTGTGGTGAGTTAGCTGAACCACCTGGAGTGCTTCTGTCAGTGCAAACTGTCCTCATTCGTGTCAGCTGGCCTTGACTTTGTGAGAGAGGTCAGTGATGTGTTTATGTGCTCAGAGGAGAGAACACTCTGGAGAGAGAATGAGAATTAAAAGTAATAAACCCAACTAGTGGCTGCTTTGGGTGGCTAGAAAAGAAGGAATCCTCAGATAAGAGGCTGCGGCTCTGAGAGTTAAAGATAAGGGAACTTCCACTACTTCTGTTTCTATTTTAGAAGAAATAAAAACCAAATCATAAATCTCAAGATGATGACCCATTCATCTGGGAAGAGGATTAAACAAGCTGTTACTTTCGGAACAGATATCAGAACTGTAAAAGTAGAGGCTGTTAACCTGTTAGTGGAAACGTTTCTTTCCTGAAAGTCACCGTTGATGAGATTAGACACCAAAGATGAATTAACAAGAAATCACTTTTCACGCAGGTTAAGCAGCATTAATTTGGGCTGTCTGTGGGGAGCTAGATTCCTAGCACTGGATGCTTTCCAGGAAAAACCAAAAGGTGAGCAACCAGAGAAGTTATGGGAAATTCAGGACTGTGATTTGTCGATAAAGGTCAACAGAAGAGTGGTTCAGCTGACCCAGAGCTGCAACAAACAGAAATCAATGGTTTTGCAGCTTAGGCGGTACCCAGAAAAGATGGGGTTCCTGGTTCAGGCCTTTGGAGAACCAGCACTGAGGCCCCAAAGTCATGCTTGTGGACAGCGGGACAGGTCTAAGCTACCTACCAGTGCCTGCCCCAAGTTAAATATGCATTACCTGCTGCTGTCCCCAAGGGAAGAAAGTTATGTGCTAGTTGGAGACCTCCCAGCAAAGTGAGGTCTGTAGCTCTTGGATGATGTCCAAGGAAACCAGGTGAGGGCTTGAACTCTGGCCAGAGAAGCAGGGTGTGTGCACTTAGGAAGCTGAGTGGGAGTCATTACACTACACTCAGGCAGGGGAGATGGGGTGTGGTGTGTCCATGAAGGGTGGGTGTGAGCATTCCAGAGCCTACATACTGGTTATGGAAGACGCTTCAGTAAATATATAGCACAGGTGACTCTGGTTGTCCTACAACCTTTTCTCCTGCTGACTTCCTGATTCTTTTAAAGCTACAACATAAAGTACTGAATAAAGTCAAAGTTAAGGCGCAGGTTGGACAAGATGACAAAATCTTCAGCATAGAGCCAAGGAGACAAGACAACCAAACCCTTGGACTTGAAGCAGACAGCTGTGCTTCTGACTCACAGTAACTAAAGTTAAAGTAAGCACTATGGATCTTCATTAATTTAATTTTTCTTTTCTTACTTCACCGAAGGCTTTAAGCCACTCTACAGTGTCCTTTTGAACCTTTACTTTCCTTTTTGCCCTTTCTCCCACGTGGTCCCAGTGGTCTGCTGGAGCTAGTTCAGACCACCTCTCAACTCTGTTCGATAATGGCACGTAGCCGCTTGCTGCCAGCCAGCGGGAGTACTTATATTATAGAAAGAACAAATGCTACAAATCAGAGGTTTATTTATTTTTTCTGGATAGTCAGTTGTTAAACAATTATCAGGACACCATGCCTGTAACTGAGAGTTTTTACATGGAAGAAGAAGCAGTGAACTGAAGGAGAACAATGTAAGAAATTTGGGGGTCAAATGACAAAGCCCAGAGGGAAATGGTGGGTTCCCGAGACTGGCTCTGCCCACCTCATGGACACACATAGCCCACCCCTGACACAAACTTTGGATTCCCTATTTAATGGTTGCTCAACAAGAACCTGCTCTTGTGTCTACAATGACACTTAGACATTGTTTTCTGTTGATTTGGGGGGCTGTTTCATCTTCTTATTTGGACATTTTCTGACGTTTATGGTGCAGGGTATAATAAGCTAGGTACACGAGTCAGTCCTTCCGGCATGGCCATTGAGGAGCAGCACCCCTCATAGCCTTGGCCTCAACAAAAGCCGCAAGGTGACCAAGAATGTAAGCAAGCCCAGGTACAGTGGCTGCTGTGCCAAGCACACCAAGTTCATGTGGGATGTGATCTTCAAGGTATGTGGCTTTGCCCCTATGAGTGGTGCACCGTGGAGCTGCTCAAGGTCTCTAAAGACAAGAGGTCCCTGAAGTTCATCAAGAAAAGGGTGGGGAGACACATCCATGCCAAGAGGAAGAGAGAGGAGCTGAGCAGTGTCCTTGCATGAGGAAGGCAGCAGCCAAAAAGGACTGAGCTCCATCCCCTCTATGTTTAATAAACCTGTTCAGAAAAGGAGAAAAAAAAAAACTAGGCACAGGGTGTTTCTTCTATTATGGATTTACAGTGTTTTCATATAAATTCAATTCCTCTTTTGCTGGACCAACCACCCAAACAACAGTGTGTGCTCCCTACCCCCCTATATGTGCTTCTCTTTTGCCTTTGCATTCAACATCTTTTTTAAGTATATTTGATTGATTATGCTATTACAGTTTTCCCAATTTGCCCCCTTTGCCCCTCTTTGTCTGGTTTCCCCCTTCCTTCCAGCAATCCCACCCCTTAGTTCACATCCATGTGTTATGCATGTAAGTTATTTGGCTTTTCCATTGTCTATTCTGTTCTTAACTTCCCCCATCTATTCTGTACCTACCAATTATGCTTCTAAATTCCTGTACCTTTCCCCCCATTCTTCCCCTTCCCCCTCCCAGCTGATAACCCTCCAAGTGATCTCCATATCTATGATTCTCTTCCTGTTCTAGTTGTTCCCATAGTTTGTTTTTGTTTCTGCTTTTTGGATTTGGTTGTTGATAGTTGTGAATTTGTTGTCATTTTAATGTTCATAGTTTTAATCTTTTTCCTAAATAAGTCCCTTTAACATTTCATATAATAGTGGTTTGATGATGATGAACTCCCTTAGCCTTTACCTTGTGTGGAAGGCACTTTATCGGCCCTTCCATTCTAAATGATAGCTTTTCTGGATAGAGTAGTCTTAGATGTAGGTCCCTGCTTTTCATCACTTTGAATAATTCTTGCCAGTCCATTCTGGCCTGCAAAGTTTCTTTTGAGAAATCAGTTGATAGCTTTATGGAGACTCCTTTGTAGTAACTCTCTGCCTTTCTCTTGCTGCTTTCAAGATTCTCTCTTCACTTTAATCTTTGACATTTTAATTATGTGTCTTAGTGTAAACCTCTTTGGGTCCAACTTGTTTGGGATCTTCTGTGCTTATTGGACTTATATGTCTATTTCCTTTGCCAAATTGGGTAAGTTTTCTTTCATTATTTTTTCAAATAAGTTTTCAATTCCTTGCTCTTCCTCTTCTCCTTCTGGCATCCCTATGATTCAGATGTTGGCCTTTTTGGAGATGTCCCAGAATCTTCTACACTCTCCTCATTTTTTTTTAATTTTTGTTTCTTCATTTTGTTCTGGTTGAATGTTTACTTCTTCCTTATGTTCCAAATCATTGATTTGAATCCCAGCTTCCTTTCCTTCACTGTTGGTTTCCTGTGGATTTTTCTTTATTTCCCTTAGTAGAGCCTTCATTTCTTCCCTTATGTTTTTGTTGTATTCAGTAAGATCTTTGAACATTCTGACTACCAGTGTTTTGAACTCTGCCTCTGATAGGTTGACTGTCTCCGCATTGCTTACTTCTTTTCCCAGGGGTCTGTTCTGTTCCTTCACTGGGACCATATTTCTTTGTTCCCTGAATTTGGCAGCCTCCCTGTGTCTGTGTACTAGGTAGAGCTGTTTTAGTGCACCTATTAAGTCATATGGGGCAGAGCCTTGGGTATCCACCAGGGTGGGGCAACTGTGGCTTCATGGGGGGGAGGGGTCGAAGAGGGGACAATGCCTCTGCTAGCTGACTTCTGGGGGCTTGCCTGGCCCTTGCCCCATTTCCAGTCACTTCACCTACTTCCCATGTGTAACTGGAGCCCCTTTAGCTGCTGTTGTGGTTGTGGTTCCCAGGGTGAGTGGGTTTGTGTAGGTTCCGGGCTCTCTGTCAGTGTCTTCTGCTGCCCCAACCCCCAATGGGTCTATAGCCAGAAATTATGGGGCTTTCTTTTTCTGATGCTGGAGCCCTGACCTGCACTGTCTGGCCTGGGGCTGGGATTGCTCGCTCACAAGGTGTCCTCCTGATTTTTATCCACCACAAGTGTATGTGGGGCTGCCCATTCTACCAAAGCCACCATCCTACCATCACTGCTGCCACCTGGCCACCTCTCCACCCCCAGCTAGCCTCCGCCACAGTGAGCCCTCTCCACCCTGACTCCCTGTCTGTCCCTCCTTCCCATCTGGATGAGTATAGCTTCTTTAAATCCTTGGTTGTTGGATTTCTGTACAGTTCTGGGTATTTTTCTGTGTGATTATCTGGCAGTTCTGGCTGTTTTTCATTTTCAAGTTAGTTGTGTTCCTTCTTATGGTTGTGCAATGAGGTGAGGCATGTCTACCTATGCATCCGTCTTGACGAGAAGCTCTACATGTTTTCTCTTATAAAAATGTCCCTGAGCTGGATGACCATCACTCTCCCTAGAGTACAGTTTTTCTTTAATGTGCATGCAAATCACCAGGGGAATCTTGTTTAAAAGCAGATTTGCATTCAGTAGTTCTGGCTGGGGCCTGAGACTCCCCATTTCTAACAAGCTCTCAGGTGCTGCTGCTGGTCAGCAGGTGTCTCTTAGCAGCAAGGCTCCAGACTGGACATGTCCATCCACTTGCCTCTCCTGCTTTAACAACTCCCACCTACACCTCTGGAAGGGACAGTCTTCACAAGAGGTTGGACCAGTAGTGGAATCATAACCAAAAAAACAAATCTATGTGCACATGGGGTTAGATTCTCCCTCAAGAATTTGAACTAGAATGCTATCCCAGCCGGGGTTCCCCCACAAAGCAGAGCCTGAGATCAAAGTCTGTACACAGTGATTTATTTGAGAATCCCAGAGAACAAGACAGCAGGATATGGGGAGGGAAAGATGAGAGGAAGGAAAACCAGTACGAGGATGTGATTGAACCAACGATGGCACAGGGCACCAGGTGCTCAGTCCCGTGGGGCCCTCCACTGGGCCCTCCGACAGGCATCTCGGTACCGTCGCAAACATGTGTCCAGCTTCCCTTTATGAAAACACTCATTAAATGCTTGATGACCTTTATTTTCCAGTTTCCAAGTAATGACTTGCTTCCTTCCATAGCATCCTCTAAAAGTCAACAATAAATTTTACTTTAATATGATTATGAACTCATGGATTATAAAGATTACATGTAAAGTATTTAATAGAAGGTACGTAGCAAATCCTCTGTAAATATTAGCCATTGCTATTGCCACTCTTATTTTTAATACATTCTCATGACTTTTCCTACTATAGTGGACCTGTTTGATCTTATAGAATACCAATACCCATTGGCTCCTTTAGGTTTAGTTAAAATTCCCGGGCCTGGCACCCATCCAGTGCAACCTGAGAGCAGATTTGATGCCCTATTGGGTGTGTTTTATTCCAGGAGTGGGCAAACTATAGCCTGTGAGCCAAATCTAGCTTACTGCCTGTTTTTTCAAATAAAGGGTTTTTTTGGAACATAGACACATCCATTCATTTATATATTACCTATGGCTGCCTCAGTACTACAACATCAGAGTTAAATAGCAGAGCCTAAAATATTTATTGTTAAAGAAAAAGTTTACCAACCTTTGCTCTATTCTATTCACAGACTAGGTACCAACTCCACGTAACAATTTTGGGATGGGTTATCGATCCCCAGGGAGAGCAGGTAGGAGCAGGAATGAATCTCTGCCACCTCTTTTCATTAGAAAAACAATTCCAAGCACTATTAGTAGAGAAAGTGTCAACTCAACCTTTTAAGAGCAGTGATTTATATTATCCTTCCCTGAATTAAACTAGTCATATAGTCCTTCTTTTGGCTTGTTCATTCCACAAGCAAAACATTAATAAACTTTTTCGTGTGACATGATTAGCTTGAAAACAGAAGACTATGGCTAAAATAACTTTCCTCTTATTAAGGGATTTTATCGGAGTACTCTAAAAATAAATTAGGCTTTCAAATAAGAGTAAATACAGATAGAATTTATCACTTTCATTTTCTCCACAAATATCTTTGACATGTTAATAACCCCCTAAGGAAGAGAGGCATTAGATGAATATTTATGATGGCCATGGTTGACGAGCATGATCCATGAAGTATGCACTGGTACTAGATTTCAGGACGGCGTCCTGAGATATGGTTAGCCATGGTAATGGAATACACATTGAATGGCCACTTTATGTTAGGCCTTCCGCGGTGCGGATGCCCGTACCCACACACAACTGTCAGCTTCTTTTGTGAAGTAGTCTTTCAGAGCAGAGAGACAGGAAGTTGTTTGAGAAACCCGGCTCTGACCAAATGACATAGATGCTTTTATCATGTTCAGAGGTCAAGCTTCAACAGCCTTCTGAAAACAGTCCAAAGTCCCAAACTGCAAAAAAGGGTGAGTGGGAAGGGAATGTTTGCTAATTAGTGTTTTTTGGTTATGAAAACAATGTAATATTTTAGAAATTTTAAAGAAAATGTCCCTTTATCCTTGAGCCCTGAGACAGTTGCTTTCATTTTTATGTAACGTCATTTTGTCTTCAACCAAGCGCATATACATGTTCGCATACAATTAACTGTCAATGAGAGTTGCTATTAGAAAGAATGTTTAAAACAAGCATGAGAGTTATCCATAGGATGTTTATCACAAAGCTATCCGTAACATTGCATATTAAAGCTCCAAGTGGTTCTCAAACCTCCCTGTACATTGGCATCTCTTGGGAATGTTTTTTTTTTAATACTGATGTTCTGGCCCCACCTGCCAAACATCCTGATTTCATTATTGTGGGGTAGGTTCCAGGGTTGGGTATTATTTTAAAGTTCCTCAGATAATTCTACAATGTTGATCTAGCCAGATGCCTTGATGTTGCAGGTCAAATAATAGACCCCGGGTGTGCACTTCAAGCCTGCTGCCCTTTCCCCACCCAAAAGCCTTTTCAGGGCCCCTGAGACCACAGTAAATGAGCAGCTGGTTGAAGACCCTGTATGAAAACAAAAATCTACAGCTTTCCTTGGATGAGCAAGTAGGGGTGGATTTGAGGGTCTAAGAATAAGGATTTAGCCTTTCACAGCATAGAATAAAACTTTCTTGCGCCCTGGCTGGCGTAGCTCAGTGGGTTGAGCTTGGGCTGAGAACCAAAGTGTCGCAGGTTCGACTCCCAGTCAGGGTACATGCCTGGGTTGCAGGTCATGACCCCCCAGCAACCACACAATGATGTTTCTCTCTCTCTCTCTCTCTTTCTCCCTCCCTTCCCTCTCTAAAAATAAATAAATAAATAAAATCTTTTAAAAAAATTAAAAAAAACTTTCTTGCAATAGTCAACATCCACCTCACTATTAATATGAGACATGACAGCATTCCTTAACTGGAGCTGTACCTTTGGCCTAGTGAGGACACAGTGTCCAGATGTTTGGGATCGTGTTCTCCCAGCCATCCAGTGCTCAGTTTAATATTCAACAGGACGACCACCATTATTTAGAATTCCCCTGAGGGAGTAGGCTCCAAAACTGAAGATTTGACACGCTCCCTCTTTGCTCTTTTCCATGGGGTTGGGTTTAAAATGCTTCTGTGTTGTATGTTTCCTTTGGGAATTTCCTCTGGAGCTGGAGATTAATCATTATGCAAATATTAAACAGTTTGAAAGTTCAAGAAAGGAGGGGAATTTGTTTAAGCAATCCTGTTGTTGTAGTTTAAATGAAAGATAAACAGCTGTTGTGTTTTGACCTGCATTCAAATTCTACTGTGCAGTTTGTGTGACGAGAAATTATGTTTAAGTCTTCTTTGAGATTTATGTGTAGCTTTGCCAAAACCTCTGGGTTCCCATAAATATCCAAATATATCGACCGTCACCCAGCCTATTTGCACTCCCTGTCAGACCTAAAGGCCGTTCTGGGCAAAGACAGATTAAAACATTTCTCTCTCAGAATGTTAGTTTGACTGAGATGTTATTTAGATTTTTTAAATAGCCTAAATGCCTGGGGTGATCTGAAAGGAAATGCTGCAAAGTCTAATGTTGCCCAATAAATAGGGCAAGTCATGCTCACTCAGCCCAGAGGGAAAAACAAAGTCCTCACTCTTATCCTGAAGGTCAGAACTCCTTGGCTTCACTTGTCACAGTCTCTGCTTCTACGTCCTCGTGGATTTCTAAACAATAGACTGCCAGCTAATAATTCTTTGTATTAAACATCTCCTGCTTAAGTCACCGTGCAGTTTCTCTCTCCTGATCTGACCCATACTGATGCTGGGCCCCTGATAGACACTGAGTTCCCCCAGAGCAAAGGACATAAGACAGAGCTGGGCTGAGACAAGCAAGGCACACAGGTTCATGGAGTGGTAGGGCCATTCGAGTGCAGGGTGGATGCCTGAGGCGGGTAGCTCCTTGAATGCTATGTCCTGGGTTGCTAGTATGCCTCACCCCTAGCCCAGGCTCTGCTGTGCTGTTTCCTTCCTTCCTTCCTTCCTTCCTTCCTTCCTTCCTTCCTTCCTTCCTTCCTTCCTTCCTTCCTTTCTTTCTTTCTTTCTTTCTTTTTCTCCTAAGGTTTAGTCTGGCACATACCAAGGATACTAGTTAGTACTTGTTATGGGCTGAATGTCGTGTCTCAGCACAAATTTGAATACTGAATCCCTAACCTCCAATGAGAGAGTATTTTGGAAACAGGGTCTTTGGTAGGTAACTAGGTTTAGATGAGGTCATAAGGGTGGGGCCCTCGTTTTGGGGTTAGTGCCCTTATAAGAAAAGGAAGACAGAGAAAGATATCTCTCTCTTCACATACATTCACTGAGGAAGGACCATGTGAACACAGAGAGGCCAAGAAGTGGGTCCTCTGTAGGAAATGAATTTGCTGGCACCTTATCTTGAACTTCCCAGCCTCCAGACTTGTGAGAAATAAATGTCTGCTGTTTAAGCCACCCAGTGATGGTGTTTTGATATGGCAGCCCAAGCTAAGGCAATGTTCAGTCAGCATTTAGCAAAGGTTGAATTACTTTCTCTTTCTCAGAATCATTTCTCTAATTCAACTTAAGAAAATAGGTAAGTCCAGAAGCAGTATAGCATGGGGTTCAAAAGTTAGACTTTAACGTCTTGCGGACCCAGCTTCAATCCCAGCCCTACATGACACTGATCTAGTTACTCTCCGTCCCTCAGTTTCTTTAGCTGTAAAGTAGACATAATAATAATATCTAGTCCATGAAGCTGCAGAAAGGATTAAATAAGATTTTACGTATAAGGGACTTAACTTAATGCTCTCAAATATTACATTATAGTGCTGCTAGTAGGCTAAAGGTACTCCCCAGTAAATTAACCCCAAATTCTCCCTAGTCTGAGTCACAAAATGAGGAAATAAAAACCAAAAGCCAGTATGCCAGTAATTAGTCTTTCAAGGTGGGGGGCCAGGGGAAGGCATTGAAAGTCAGAAAAGTTGAACATTGCTTCTCTCTGTCCCAAGAGCCAAACAAAAGCCAAAGTAAACAAGGTTTAGGAAAGAATGTCAAAAAAGCATAGCAGTGGCATCAATCTCCTTTCCCATAGAGGAGATTGGATTAGAATAAGTTTTCAGTCTGTTCTTTTTTGTTTCCATTTAAAAAAGCCAAAACTTTATTCAAATTCAATTTAATGAGAATGTTTAGTGCCCCTTCCATGTTCCAGGAATTATACTCTTTTAGTAAAGATTCAAGCAGACGAAGGTCTTCAGGTATGGAAATAAGCATGTAAACAGCGCAAAGGTTGTTCGAGCAATGGTTACTCTAACTGTGGTGGAGTTCGCTCACGGGCTCTGCAGAAGAAAAAGGACAGGATCTGGCAAGGTCAGGGAACCCTTCCCAGAGCTTACATCTGTATTGCCATTGTGGAAAGGAAAAAATGGAAGGCATTACTTGAATTTTTCAAATGACTAGAGCTAACTAATATTGACTACAATGGCTACCACTTACTGAGTAGTTAATATGTAGTAGGTATTTTAATATGCCTTAATTCATTTTCAATTCAATCCTTCTGAAAACTTTGGAAGATAGGAAGTACTATCATCATTTTATAGACAAAGAAACTGAGACTTTAGAGATTAGGTAACTTTCAGCAGGAACAGTGGAGCTGAAGTCACCTTCCTCAACTCTGCTCTTGACCTGTTACTGTCAACTTTGTCCAATTTCTAGGAATCCATTTTCTGCTATCATACAAAATCACACAGGGCCTAGAGAGCATTTCTAAACCTAAGCAAACCTGATCTAAATTCCTGCATAAAACATTGACTATAACAGGCCAGATTCAACCAGCTTTTATTCACAGCTCAGAATTGCATTTTAACAGAAATATAAATGTGCTACACAAACCCAATCAACTTATTATATTACATCTAAAACAGTTCTGGCAATTTATTAATTGGAGTTATAAAGAATAACACAGAAAATATTCTTGGATTTTATACCATGCTGAGCTCAGTAAGCAAATCTCCCAGCATAGGGCCTGACACAGAGTGGGCAGTCACCAAACATTGCTTTTGTCTCACCCTGCTTCCTGTGGTACAAGTTGTAGAAAAGAGACAGTGAGCTAGGCAGGCAGATCAGGAGAGAATTCCCATCCAAAGACAATAGGGTAGAGAATTACAGGCTTATCACCCACAGGCATGGTTCATGGCCCTCTCCAAACCATCTCTTGAGAGATGCTGTTGCCAGTTTCAGTTTCATCCAGAAACTGACCTTGACTCAGACCCTTCTACTCACTGGGCCAGGGACTCTGCACACCTGAGAGGTCATTCTTGGCCGATAGGTAAACTCTCCACAGCCCCTTTCATCCTCCTGATGTTAGAGATAAGCTCACTAAGAGTAGCCAAGGGGCAGGGTTGGAAACTACCAGACTAGGATAGGAAAAACAGGCTCCATAAAATGGGAGCCGCTGAAGGAGCTTTATGATCAGCCCCAGGGAAAGCCTTCAGGTGGAGGTTGGAGAGAAACAAGTCATGCATATTATAAGGAATTGACTTAGATTCTGGTGCTCAAAAAAAAGTACTTGAGCATACATTTCCTGATGAGAGAAGGAATAATAATGAGATGACTATATGCTGAGCACTCTGCTTGATACACAGGAAGTACTCAGTAAAGAAGAGCTGCTGCTACTCTTATCATTAAGACTTTGCTCTTCTTCATGAAGACTAGTTTTTTAAGGATTTTACACAAGTGCAGTGTGTCCAAGTACCTAAGGGGGTGCTGAGGTGAGTACTGTGGTAGGCTCAAGTGGTCCTAATCTCTGGAACTGCTAAATGTTACCTTATTTGAAAAGAGTCTTTGCAGATAAGATTAAGTTAAAGATCTTGAGATGGATGAGATGATCCTGGGTTTTCTGGGTGGGCCATAAATGCAGTCACAGGTGTTCTTTTAAGAGAAAGATTTCACACACACACACACACACACACACACACACACAGGAAAAGACAATGTGAAGATAGAGCTGAGAGAAATTTGAAGATACTGGCCTTGAAGACTGAAGTGATGCAGCCACAAGCCAAGGAATGCCAGCAGCTGCCAGAATCTAGAAGATTCAGGAACAGAATCTCTCCTGGAGCCTCTGGAGCTGGCACAGCCCTGCCAACACTTCGATTTTGACCAAGGGATACTCAGTTGAACTTCTGGCCTCCAGTGCTGTGAGAGAATAAATTTTGATTGTTTTAAACCACCAGCTTTGGTATAGCAGCCATAGGAAACTACTATAAGTAGCTTGTCAACCTATGCAAGATTCATCAGTAAACTGTTGTCCAGCAGGAGTCCTAGCTAATGAATATTTATTAGATTGTGCAGTCCCAAGGGCAGAGACAACAGCATGCTAATAAACCAGTTTCTGGAGGGAAATTTCAGAAGCCCTGGTTTTTAGCAGATGCCAATTCCCGTGATACAAATACTCCCACCGTGGCCCAGTTTCGAAGGTTGAACATCTGGCTTGCACCGTTCCTTAGTATTTAACAGTCAGCTCTCACATGCTGGAAGGTGCCAACTAACTTCAGCACATCCCTGTAGAAGTGCTCTAAACCACTGGTAAAAATTGCTCTCAAACTGTGTTGTGCATAATTTTATTCCTCCTTGATAATTCTGAAGGGTACTTTATGGTATTGTAGTTCCTGAGAGTGTGTGCAGAGTTGCCCATCAACAGCATTGTGGTGGGTGGCTCACAGCTCCGCAGGGCTGAGGAGGAAAAGGCAGAACAGAACACCCAGTCACCATCAGTTGCACGGTTTTATTCCCTAGGGAGCTCTGGAAGGAATCCAGTGAGGACTATCACCTTCCTTAGGTAAATTTACGGCAGTATAAATAGTAATAGCAGTGACAGAAATCATAATCATTTCCTTCCAATGGAATAAGGCTTTACAATTTTCAAAGTGAATTAGATTTTCACCTTGAGGAAAATAGAATAGAGGCTTTATCTCCAGAAACAAATGGAGTGTGTAAAATTCAGTCTCTCTGTGCAGCCCCACGCTGCTGACTTCTGAATAGCATTCCAGCTGTATGTATCTGGGGCTTGGGAAATTTTCCTAGTTCCCGGGGAAGAAAGTTAACTAAAACATATGACATCTCTGGCAGGAATCACAATTTCACACAAAAAGTTTCCTGCAATAACTTCCTCTGCATATTGCTTCCCGTGGTGGAATCACTGTCTCCGGGGAAAGCAGGGGTCTAAAATGACAACTCTGTTTAATGAAAGTGAGGGCCGAATGCTAAGTCCAGCAGCCCTTTATTCTTTCAGGAGAAGCCTTCATCTGAAAATCACTTTTTATGGGTGAGATAACGTCTTCCAGATTTTTTTTTCTTCCTGTTTTTAGAGCATGCAAGTATTTTATGACTCCAGTGTAAAAAATAAATAAATACGGTTACTACTTCTACAACTCAACAGTATTTCCTGTAGACAAACTACTAGAAATGTATGTAATGTATATTTCTGGAAATAAAGCAACACAGTGATCAGCCATCCTTGCAAGGAGAGGAAAGCAGAACCATTTCCATTTTAAAGAATGAGGTCACCACCTGTGTTTCAGTGTGGTTGTGGTGCCTGCCCTTTATGCTACCATGTGTATTCTACAAGTGCCAGGACCTGGACCACAAGCTGTGTGGTGCTAGATCTCATAGGATGCTCTACATATAGAGGATTTTCAGAACACATCTGTTCATCATCACAGGGATGAGGTGGTATTAAAGCGTTGGACAAACACCTACTGGAGGCAACATGCTCGTTACCTACAGGAAAGGAAGAATCAGAACTGGGAGGTGAAAGACTAGACTTGAAGCTTCAGTCCCTTCCGTGGCACTGAAGAGTGACAGGGGAGACAGCTCGAGTCCTCTAAGAACTTCCATGGGCTCTGTGGTATAAAGATGGATAATTTGCTGTGAGCTTGAAATAGTAAAACCAACAACCATTCCTAATGTTGCTACCGTATTGATAAATTATCTTGCTTGTGAAATTATCTACACTTTGCAGAGAATTTTAAGAGAATCTTTGCAGTGTGCATTTTCATGAGCCCAAAAGTTACTTCCTTCCCTCTATTGCAAAGCTATGAGAACACAAATGTCTGCCTGTAACAATTTTAACTAGCACTTGCACACAACTGAGTGTGTTCAAGATCCCCTAAAAAGATTCTAATAGTCAAATATGTGATTTGACAAATATACAAGTCAGATATATAAGGTTAAGGAAGAAAGAGACAGTATGGAGAACTAATCCATGGATAATCCAGTAATGAAATATCTTAAATTAAGACATTTAATTTCAAATATTAGTCCAAGAATTCCATGTTCTTGCTCTTGGATAAAATTAGCAACAAAAAAGTGAGATCAAAAGATAACAGCAAAAAATTTTGAATGATGATTTTTGTCATATCTCCAAGCCAAAGGAATACTCCCTGAAGAGCAAAGGGAATGTGGCTTTTAGATTAAGATATAGAACAATGTTTTAATCCTGTTGTCCATTTACAAGCTGTATAACAACCTTGGGTAATTTACCTAAATTCCTCTGAGCTTTAATTTCTTTATTTCTTAAATGGGATAATTACACCTAATGTATAAGATTCTTGAGAAGATATACAGTAGAAGCTCAATAATTCTAATTACCATCCAACAGATAAGAGGACCCGGTTGGTGTGGTTTTCTTTGAGGCTCTGAGTAGATATGGCTTTCTGCAGCTGATCTGGGCCTGGGGATGTGACTGTTCTAATGGGCAGGAAGGGTTAGGGGTGTGTGAAGGTTTCCTGCCTCCTGTTCTTCATTTGCACACTTCTGTCACCCCCACAGGAGTCACATGGCCATGGGTAAGGCTTCACTAAGATGGTTTGCACATTCACACTTCTAATTAGATGGATGAAGCCCCAGAATTCTTGCACTCCCCGTCAGCAAGGATTCACCACCAAGGAAGTCATCTGGCAGGGGCGGGGGCAGGGGCAGCGGCAGGGGCAGCAGTGAGAAGAGACAGGTATCACATGGCAGCAAGAGGCCTTGCAGCGGACACCATAGGTTCTTTTAGTGACATAGGTCCCCACTCTGTGTCTTGTCCTGAGAGGGAGGGCGGCACAGTGATAGGGCCACGGGTTTTTATGTCAAACAGACCTATTTCCAAAGCCTGGCCCTGTCATATGCCACTTCTAAGCTACAATGTCCTGAACAGTAGATGATGGTCATAATTGTACCTACCCCCTAGGGCCATTAGAAGAATTTATGCATTGAGCCAACATATATTGGTACAGTGAGTGTTGTGTTGGTGTGGAGACAGCAGTGAAACCTTTAGTACTTTTCTAAAGGCTTTATGTAATTTAACTAATTCATTTCTTGCCTCAAGTCTGTGAAGTAGTATTACCCCCATTTTATAGATGTAGAAACTGAAACACTGTTTCCATTGTTTGCTCAAGGACCCAGAGCCTGGGTCTGAGTCCGTGTTATTGATGACTGTATAACCTAAGAAGAGTAAATGAATCAATGCACATACAAGCTCTTGGCACTGTGTCTGACACTTACAAACCAGTCCATATTGTGGTAGCTAGTGTAGTATCTGTAGCTACTGTGCATCTGAGTCTTCTTTGCAAATTCCAGTTTGGGTTGCCACCTAAATCTTTCTGTCGGTTGTGTTCACAGAATTCATAGTCTGGCTCATCAATAGATGAAGTGCAATGCAGATTTTGGGGACCCATTCTGGCTGACCTAAGTCACTGGGAATTTCAGTGAACATCTGGATGGACTGGGCAACAGGATCGGCAGTAATTGTAGTTCATCCTGTGGGTAATTTGGTATTAATCTCACCAAACCATGGAGAAATATGTTTTATTGGCAACTAACTTCAGAACTGAGGAATCTTGGCAAAAATATGACCATCATTTAGGTTAATAATTTGTTACATGATGATTATCTACGTTAGTTATAAGCTTGGTTATATAATTTGAAAGGAAATTTTTACTGATAATGGTGTGTGGGAGCAGTAGAGGAGTGAGGAGAAAGGAAAAGAGAGGGTTAATGATATAATTCTGTAAACATCTCAAGTGGAAAAAGAGAAAACCAGATGAAAGAAAAAGGAACTATTAAGGAAAATGCAATTGCGTTCTTGTTGGATATATTTTAATCGCCATTTAATCCATGTCTTATAGCTTTTCTGAAAAAGCAACTGTCAAAAGGATCGTAAAGTGATTCCACTCTGCATCAACTGTGTTTTGTAGAGGAAAGAATAAGGGTTCTCGGGCACTACTGCCAGATGCGCTAGGATTTTAATATCAGCCGCACGCTTACCAGCTGTGTAAACTTGAGCAAGTTACTTAATCAATCTGGATAACAATTTCCTCATGTCTAAAATTCAAATAATAGCATTCATCCAACAAATTTGCTGTACAGATTAAAATGTGTTAAAGTATTGTCACATAGAGGCTGCTCAATAAATGGCACTTAAAGTTGTTATTATTATGTTTGATTGGTTTCTCTTCCACTAAGTTTCTGAGACCTACATGAGAAAGCTTATTCAAGGTGTTATCCAGATGTTTCTTAGAGGGGTTTCTTTTCATCCTAATTATACACATTCATACTGTTTATTTGAGTGGAAGAAATTCTAGAATGAAGAAATGACTAAACAAAATTAGTTGAGTAAATTATCTGATTAGTTCAGGGAAAAAAAAACAATACAAACAGGCTTCAAAGTCTTTTCACCCTTTGTCTATAGGTCAATTTATTGCTACAACCCTCTCATTTGCTTTAGCTACAGAGACAAGGCCGCTTCATTTCATTTTTCCCAGGAACTAGAACTGTATTTTGAAATAGGGACAATTGGATTTAAAACATTACTTTTATACAGATAGAACTCATGTACAGCTAGTTATTTCTTCAAATATCCAGTGACTGCATACTAAAAATTAGGACCTTCATTTAATTAAATGCTCCGGTTTACTATTGCCTGCAAACGACTTGGAAACTGCTCTCTTTCATGTATTTAAAATGGCATCTAACATCAACACAATCATTCTTTAAAAAGTGACTTGCTGCTCTGAGAGTGCTGATGTGGTTTCAAAATGTATTTAGTATGACTGCGACTCAATGAGGCTTATAGCCATAGATTTGGGAAATAAGAAGCCTGTCATAGACTTTTCATAGCCACCTCAAAATGGCAAATGAAGATAAATTGCAGA